GATTTTGATGTATGACTAAACGTAGACGTGGTATATTCGTCAATGAGACAGAAAGCCAACGATAAAAATAGCCGTAGGACATCTGAAGGGCAGCATTTTGTTTTATGAATTGACAGGTGTCTACACGATGCCAAGCTCTAAATAGGTCAGAATCGAAAAGAAAAAAAAACTGTGAAAAATTCAACAGAAATTCAAAGTTTTGCCGATAAAATTCACTTCATAAAATAAAGTGACCATCAAGAGATAGACTGAAACAAAAATAAATTAAAAGTAAACAACAATTTACTTCTTAAAGGAGTATTTTCTCTTGCAATAAACTAAGAGGGGACTTTCACAGCAACCGTGGATCAAAGACGTATTCCGCATTTAAAATTATGTAATCTCTTCAAAACGTTTATGAAAATTGATGACGTAGTGTGTTAAAACAGTATTGACCAATCAATCAGTATATGTTAGTTATAAGTGCACAGCTGAGGTAATCCTACTGGACCCGTTCGACGTCAGGAGTGACGCAAGGAGTTCGGATCAACGGGTCACCGAGCTGTGCAGTATAACTAACATTATGATACCAACTTGATTTGTCAATAACTATAACTTAATATTTACGCCAAATCCACTCATGAATTTGCCACAATGTTACGTACATTTTAAAACGAAACCTGATGGAATATCAACAAGTTGGTATCCATAATTGATTTTATTAAGAGTTATACTTTTAAGAATAACTAACGTGGATAAACAGTACAAACAGGCCACGTTATTAAAATATTAGACCATTTTGATTGACAATTTGTTTTTTACTTCTATGAACAGGATTTCCAGAACGACAGCTATGGTCCTTTATTATACATCGCACTTTTTATGAAATTATTTCTTTACTTGCACAAAGCAGCGTTTATACAAGAACTATATTCTGAAAGATTTGTTTCTTGTATTATCATTTATTTACTGAGAAGGTGTACCTCCATTTCGTGTGTGTGGTGTTTTTATTCTATATTGTTTTAATGTGTTCTAAGAACAACGTTTTTTTTTAAGCGGTGATGCAAGTTCTTTTATTTGAATAAGCATTGCATTTATATTTTAAGTGTTCGATAAGCGTCGTTTTTGTTGTTTGGTCTTCTCTATTATGGATTAGACATGATTATTTTTTTTGTAAGATCTTAGATTATGTCTAGTTCATATGTTCAAATATATGTTTATTAAAGAATTCGATCTTTCCTTTTTCACTTGCTTGTAACTTAACAAAATTACTTTATATAAATACTATCATAATCTTTTCATGTGTTGACGAAGTAAAAGTCAGTGCAATTAAGATCTGTATTAACTACCAGATTGTTAAGTTTGAATAGCTCCAAGGAATGAAACTTCAGACTTAGAACGCGCTGTAATTGTATGAATTGAAATCTTTTCGATTGCCAACTCGACAGTTCTTTTAAGACACTGATGAAATGACATATCTAATGAAATAAAACATTTTCTTGAATAATTGTTAAGCATTTTATCTCTTGAAGGAGGTATTTCAGAACGATTACAAAAGATTCAATATCGTTTATAAGTCTTATCCGGGATTGGTGCCGTTTTTAGGTTGATTCATTATTGGTATTCAGCGGGTAAATGAAGTTTGTAATAATGATTTCCTCTATCTCAATCTAACTTGTATTTACATCTAAAATCAAATGAATTAAATGAGTAGACTCTTGATCAGATATTTACAAAGATCAATACTAGATGTCTTGTTACCCATGGATGAGGAATTGCAAATATGCTATAGGTCATTGTATGTCTGAATTTGTTATCATTTACTTTGTATCCAAAAGGATAACCTCTTGAGCAGACGATCCATTTATGTCAGCGTAAGAAAGCAGGCGTCGACGACTTAAGAAATATTCATTTCCAAGCCTAGGTATTCGAATTGGAATTTTCCCATCTTGTATAGACCTAGTCGCACTGTTTATTTAAAGAAAGTTGAACTAGCAATATAAAATCTTATTATGACCAAATATGCCCTATACTTATGAAAAATGAATGTCAAATGTGCTTTTTAATAATAGTTTATCATTAAATATATATATATTGCAGTTGTGAAAAGAAACAATTTATTTACATTAAAGTATTTCGTGATCAGTGAACGAAAATATATACAATGATTTTGATCTTATTCATGGAAGCTCTGTTAATTTAATACGATCAGAAAATGCTTCGCGCTTTTTAGATTTTTGAATATTCTCACATTACTAATGGGGAAAACAATGAAATTGTTCCATTTATTTTGACATCTCCGAATGAGACCTATCCTCCGAGTTGAACTTACATAAGCAACACGACGGGTGTCACATCTGGAGCAGAATCTGCTACTCTTGTTGAGCATCCGCTATCGTCCCTGGCATTTTTATGAGGTGCAGTTGGTTTTGCTCAGTCTTTAGTTTTTATGTAGTGTTTTGAAGACTGTTGTTTGCCCTTTTGTCGTTTTTCGCCATAGTTTTGTCGGTCTCTCTTCGACTAGTGAGCTCTGGTTGTCCCTGTGGTATCTAACGTGGTTTTTTTTAATTACGGTTTTTCAGCAGGGTTAATCAGACAACATGTTCGTCTCTTTTATTCAAAGTTTATAGTATTAAATTTTTCAACACCTGGTTTTCATCGTGTGCAATCAGATGTCCTTTTTCGGATATGTTCTTTTCCAAAGTAAAGAAAGTGAGTAACCGATGTTTAAAAGGATATGTAAATTTCACGCATACATCAAAGGATCTCTCGACAATTCAATAACAAAATGGTAACACTCATAGCCCAAATGTGAATATGAAAAGATAACAACTATAACAAAGGTTATTTCGAACAATTATAGTAAAAAAGTATTTTGTAAAAATGAATTAATTTTCTACTCAATGTTGTATCATAATTTTAACTGACATCAAAAAGAAATTTAAATCTACAAGAAACAAAATGTTGACATATCGCATTCAGTAATCAATTCAATTCTAAATTGGCATGACATTTAAGAGTAAATTATTTGAAACATTTGTTGTGTTACTTTCAGCAGAAACGATTTAGGAAAAATTAGGAAAAATCTATAAAAAAATGTTAAATTATATTCAAACATATTTGAAGCAAAAACAGACAATAGGATTAACAAATAGTCATGACATTCAAATTTTGACTTTGCTTAAGGCAGTAAGAAGATAATTTTGCTGTATCAAAATACAAAAAAATATTAATTAATAGTTCATCATAATGTGCAATGTGGTCCGAGGTCATAAGCAAATAAGCTGGAGTTTCTAAAAGTCATATTTACCATCATGCTTGCAAAAAAAATAATCATTGTGTGTATTATTCAAAACGGAACTTGACAGACGCCTATTGTGTAAAACTGGATGAAAGCAGATTTTTTAATGCATAAATCCATAACATCACTACAATGACTAAGTTAAATTATTACAGAAGCTGAGACGTATATTTTAAGTGTAGTCAGGTAGTTCAGCATGATTTTTTTTCAGCAGGTTTTAAAAGTACTCCAAGCTTGCTTTTAATACTTGCAAGCATTCTTTCATACGTTTTTTTTATTGCTTATTAAACTGTTATTTCAAAGTTAAGTGCTTTTCCAGTTCTGGTTGTTTTTGTGTGTTCTTTTGTTTATGTTTTGTTTACCTAATGATCGAGATTAAAAAGGGGGAGGGTTAAGATATTAGAAAAATGAATATACCCGCGACTTTTCGTGTGCCTGCATATCCCAAGTCTGGAACCTCGTCATTATCCATGTCATATGTTAACTTTATTTTAAGAATTTAGTGTTACTTATTGCCGATCTTTGATTGTTCCTGTTTAGTTATTTTAAGAATTTAGTGTTACTTATTGCCGATCTTTGATTGTTCCTGTTTAGTTATTTTAAGAATTTAGTGTTACTTATTGCCGATCTTTGATTGTTCCTGTTTAGTTATTTTAAGAATTTAGTGTTACTTATTGCCGATCTTTGATTGTTCCTGTTTAGTTATTTTAACAACGTTTACAGTGTTTATAGAACATGACAGACTGTATATGTCTATTGTTGAGGACTGAATCTTGCCCTTCGAATATCTGTTGGTTATTTTGTCGTTTGGTTGCTGTCTCATTGGCGTATACCCCACTAATCTTTCATTTATATGATTTCTAAAGTACTTGCATCTAACAATGCATAATGGATATGAATCAATACAAAACCACATTCAGCGGCAGTCAAAACAATAGTCAACTAACTTTTTCATGAATATATATTTAATAAGCGTTTCAAAGAATATTCATAATGTAAAATAATTTGCACTTAAGTATTATGTTGGTTTTTTTTTTATTCGAAGTTCACTTTAAATACAAAATTTAATATTACAGATCTTACATTAAATTAATCCTTGCCACTTTTGTGTCTTTAAAATTTGAAAAAAAATCGGTGAACACATGTAGCGAAAGGCGATAAGGATATTTGCTAGATTATGATCGTTTTAGTTTGACCTTTTTACACTGCTATTGTTATACAAAACTTGTTGTTGACTCTTAAGTGGCACGATTGCTATGTGTCAATGTGAAAAATGCATTTGTGACATGAATCTTATTCTAAAAGATTAACTGAACTTAACAATATGCAATGACAGATGATGCTTGTTTTATTTAGAGTTTAGTCCGAAATTTACACGTTTTCGGCACGACTTTCTCTTTATATTGAAAGGGGGTACTTATTCTTATCTACTTTAATGACATCATCGCTTTAATGGTTTTACTAAATAAAAGTTTCATAATGACATCCTTTAACAACATTTAAACTATAAATAACATACAAACATAATGTATATAAAAATGTATAATATTCAAACTTAAACAGAAAACAAGGCGAAAAATACAGAGAAGCGAGTGCCTCTTTGAATATAATAAACTTAATCGGACACTAAATCAAACTCTCTCACAAATATCCAACCTCCCCCCCCCCCCCTCTCCCTATTCATTAACTGATTTCTACATTAAGTTTGACATTGACTTACCATATCTAGAAGCTGAGATAGACGTAAGCCTACTTTAACAGTAAGCCGTTGTAGATTACTATCAACAGGTCGGATGAGTTTACTGTATGAACGAACGTGGAGAAGATCGTGATGAAGACGATTTTCCACCGGTTCTGGTGCTTTCTCAAGGCAATAACACAACCCTATAATAGTCACACTCAAAATTCCAGTCAACATTTTCCTATCAAATTAGTTTCCTTCATGTCAGAAAAACATCACTTGAAATACGACAAATATTTGTTGTAATTACCATAAAACACTATCCAAACTTATTACTCAATAATCCTTACTATTGGAGACAGGCGACATAATCTTTAAGCATTTATCAAAAAGTCTTAAGACTGTAAAATTGATTTTTTTTACAAATAATTGTCCGTGTCGTTTAAATACACCACACACATCAACATACTTATCATTTGTACAATAGAATGTAAATATTATTTCCGAATTACCAGTATATAATCCATTTTTTCAACATATCTATACTGTGTTCATTCATGTGTTGTCGAACGATTTTATTTGGGGGGAATGTAGCGACGGTACATGTACTAACTGCTCCGTTAACACATGGGGCACTATGTAAACAAATAATAATAAACTTGGCATGTCAGAAACTCGACTTATGATAAATTGTGCGTTAATTGTTGCTGCACGCGGATACAATATAATATTTCAACATAAGTGTGTGAAACCCCGCGCCAGCTGTTATTCATAGCATCTTAATATTGTAAATGTAAATACAGTTTACTTGTTAAGCACATATGCTACAACACTTATGTGTTGGACATTATATTGTGTGATACGGAAACATAATGAGATTTTCATTAACAATATCTACTACAATACTGTAAACGATCATTATATATCGTTTTCTTTGACGAGAAATTAATATTGACAACACAAATCCATCCTATTATGTAAGGCATACAAATGCTTTCAGTTACAAATATATCATTGTTTATATTTGGTGCATACATTTGGTGTTTATATTTGGTGCATAAAATCTCTTCAGTGTTTATCAAAATTCTTACAATTGACTATAACTACCAGTAATAGTAAAACAAATCCATGTATTGTTTTCCTTGACTTGCAATAAATTATTATTCAACTATATGCAAAAATCCTTTCATTTACAAAGATAGCATCGTTTCTCATATTTTTGGACACCTATTGCAGAAGTGCAAAAGCAAACAAAACGAAACATAAATTGTTTACATAGGTAATTTTATTTACTAATTGACATAGACATAAATGCATGGTGGGAAAATTAAACATAGCCAAGATAAGTGTTGTTTAATTAATGCAAAATGCATTGCGGATATATGACAAACATATGTTAAATACAAGTATATTTTTTTCACTAAGAAATTATGGATCAGCATGTACATGATTATTATGCAGTAAATCACATAGAAATCTGTACCACAAAAGACCCGCAACACGTGTTCCTTTTGTTGTCTGTATTTAAAAGGAAAGCTTACACAGCTGTTTTTCAAAGACAAAAAAATGAAGTTTCTGTTCGTGCTTACTTTTTAATCACCATGATTTTTCTTCTACGTTAGCGCATAGAGTTGCTCGTTAAACAAATATGCTAAAATATGCATAAATATGTTGCAATAGTTAAAATCAAACGGAAAGCGCATGTAAATGCTTTTAAAAACTTTACCTGTAGATTAAATGTATGATTGATAAAATTTATATAGTAAACAAAACAATATTACGTACATGTTGATTTATCATTTAATATAATATAAACAAATTTATTGATGCATGAAATGTTATTACTTTATTTTTATAACTTTTTATGTAATATTAATCCAATATGTAAATAATATAAATGCCATTATATGCAATCAATTATTAGTCAGATATTTACTTGCAGATTAGTCCTTTTAATGTCATTTTTGAAGTCAATATTTTTGTCTTTTGTATACATGTGTGGTCACTTTGTTAAAGATAACTAATTGTCGAATACTCAAGTATTTCCCAAATTGCTCAGGCAATAGTAAAACACAGACTGAAATAAAACAAAGATGTCATAACGTTCCGATATAGTATTGGGTTTTAAAACTTTGTCGACTCTTTTGTAGTATATGGAATATAATTGCAGAGGCACTGACCCATTGGCAGTATAAAGCAGAGACAGTGTAAAGGGTTATGACAGCAGATGTGTATATCTCTTTGTAGTATATGTCCTAAAAAATTTAGGATTACGATAAGCGTTACTCCATGGTTACATTGTAAACATTCATCATGTACGCTAGATTAAATTAATTTTGGATAGCACATACATAAAGCGTTAAAGAAAGTCCAACCCAAAATGTGCTAAACACAATAGACATATGGAAATTGAAATGTTATGATTAAAATGAATTGATTAAATTGCTATATTATTACCGAAGCACTGGCTTATTTTCATTTCCCTTTTCTCAATAAAAAAAAGGATGATAGAAATCCTTTTTTACAATGTTTATTCTTAATACTGTAATTTCTCACTCTTTCGGGGTGGGAGTCGGTGTGGTAGGAATGAGCCATTGAATATCACTATTTCAAGCTTCATTATATAAAAGACAAGAAAAGTACATTAAATATATGATAAGATTGATTTTATCAAAAGTATCTGAATCAGATGTTGGTATATTTTAAAGATAGGATTGAAACAAAAGTCACAATAGCATCAAATACTTGTCAAACCTAGTTTATACAACTAGATTTAACTCTTTGGAAAATGCCTATACCAAGTCGAGAATATGACAGTTGGTTTTCACTCATTCCGTTGATTGATAACCTTTTATTTTGTCAGTTTTTAATGAACTTCCCTGGAGTTCGGTATTTTTGTTTTTTCTTTGTTACTCTCCTTGAAATAGCTGAAACAAGCTATATGACTATTGTTTGTCAAAAAAAAAAAGTATATGAAAGGGTATGCATTATTGAATATTCAGAATATAAAAAGGGTTTAAATCTCCCCCACCTGAGACTCAAATATATGTACATTGGTCAATAGCGGAAGAGGAATTTAGTTTAAGGTGTCCGAAAAAACACTATTCAATTAGCAGTGATTATTATTATATATGGTTTTTAAGATTATCCATTCAACCGATACAAGAAAGATAATCAAACATTCCTATACTTGATCATAAATATTGTTTTCTACTAGTATACAGTCTATCATAAAAATATGAAGCTTGTTTACCGAAGTCAGTTTAACTATCATGAAACCTCGTATAATAAATAAATAAACATGGTAATGAAACCAGTCAGTATCGCTTCAGTTACAAGCTAAGTTATACCTGATGCGGCGACAGAATCAGCTGATATTTGACAAAAACATTGATTGGAGCATACTTTAAGGCTTAAGATTACTAATTTCATGGCCCATTGTTTTCTAAACTGACTTATGAATTAAAAACATTGATAGCTATTTTGTCTTAAATTTAATTAAAATGAATGTGATGAAAAATACTACATTTTCTTGCAAATTATTGCGCACTGGTTCCCGAAAGTTAAGGAATACAAAAAACAAGTACATCAGATCTGGGATTAATACAGTGAATTTATATATTGGTCCCAACTTTGATCTGAGAAACAGGCTAAATATACCCTCCTATTTCAATTTATATAATTTTATATCGTTCAAATCAAACTTTTAGCATGGGTTGTTATTGATCTTAAGTCCTTAAGCTTTCATTTGATAATTTTTTTACACTAAAATTATCAAAATATTTGGTTTAATATCGAGAGTCACTGACGAGTCTTTTGTTGACGAATTGCGCGTCTGGCGCATAAAATTATAAGCATGCTATATTTGATGAAAGTGTTTGCTTTGCGTAGGAACTATTTTTTTCTAAAGTTCTTTCTGACCGGGCACAAATACGTAGGCATATACATAAATAAATCGTTCATCCAACAACAAAATTACCTCTTCGTGTCAATTTACGGTCGTTAATTAAGAGATAACTGTATTGTATTTGAAGCTTTGCGGACGTCCATCGATAGTTTTACTGTCGCAAATTGAGTTTACCTGGCGATACGTATTATGTAGTCAAGTCCAAAACGAATTAAACAGACAATCCATGTTTATGTACATGTCTTCCATAAGTCATATCTAGAAGCAAGCGACAGAACTATGATTATTATGTAAATTTAGAGAAACAGTAGTTTACCCATGTACACAATTTCATCAATCCATTAAGAAAATACAAATCAAGATAAAAAAAGGTATTAACAAAAATACCGAACTCTAAGGTAAATTCAAGGTAAATTCAAAAAGGGGGAAGTACATAAAAACTGACGAAATCAAACGTTAGACTATACCAACTAACGGAACGAATGGAAAACAACTGACGGTCATTCCTGACTTGGTACAGACATTTTCCGAAGAAAATGGTGTGTTAAACCTGGTTGTATAGCTTAACCTAAACCTAAACTAAACCTCCCACTTGTATGCCAGGCGTTTATAGTTCCGTTATATTGACAAAATTGGATAAGCAAGCCAAACAAACAAAATTGGTTCATGTGACAATGATTGGGATCCAGCAGCATAAACTGTGTACATGTAAACATACACCAGACATACATCACAACTGATTAAACAATTCAAACAAACATACAAATAAATATGACAAAGATGCCAACAAAAAATTTATTGCAGTTGATAGTTAATCTGATAAAGACGTCAACATAAAAGTTTTTGTAGTTGATAGTACATACAGTGAATACAAAAACAAATAATGCCGTAGTATATACTTTTCCGATAAAGTGCAAATAAGGTAAAATATAGATACAAGGGTAAACAAAATGGAAACAACACTTTGAAACCTCTTGCGCCCGAATCAAACCTCTGGGCCCACCTTCACCACTAAAGCCAAAATTATAATATGAAGGAATCGCATGAACTTCAAAAAGAACAAGTCTTGTTGCGTCGTCAGGGTAGGTGTCACCTACTTTGCATGCCTCCTCCGCCATGTGAATCCACACTCAAATTATCACAATCGAGAATAGGACATAATAGGTAAAATTACAGTTCAGACAACTATTCTGGTATCTCCAGATCTAAGACCGCGAACACATGTTGCTAGTGAGTTGAAACACAGACGCGCCGTATCGGTCAACCAAATTGTGATAGTAACCGTAAAACTTTTGAAGTGTCAATATCAGTAGTTCTTTCTCCTGTTAATGACGTATATATTATGTATAGTGTCTGGACTGATAGTGGAAATGATGAATATGTAGCAGAATTAACATGATTCCTAGAAAGCTAAGATCAAAAGATTCGAGATGACTTCAGTAGTTGTTTATGAACACCCTAATGAATATTACTGTAAACAAACTAATTTCCGAGAGCGCAATTCATAAACGCGATTTTCAAGCATTCTCAGGTCTCTATATACTGGTGAAGTCCATGCAGTAAGCATCCCAACTGGGAAGTTTTTGATGACTTCAGAAAATGTATGATCTTTTCACCACACGTTTTTATTAAAGTTCAGTGATCGTAATCGAAGGCAATCAGATATCATAGGGGGATCATCATACATCTGAACGACGATAATAGTTGAGTACACATATTTAGAATAACTGTTAGAAATTCAAAAAGAATTTGAGAAGAAAACTGAAAGATTCTGAGATTTAACTTTTTTGAAAATTAGTTTCCAT